GCTCTTAAATTTTTAAAATTTGAATTTTTGGTATCTTATATTTTAGAAACTGCAAGCTTTTCCTAATTTCTGTGAATGCACAAAGCTAACAGAAAATTCAATGCCGTAAAAAAATATAATTATTTACCTTAACTCATGCAATTGACCCTTAAATTCGAGAATTATGTTTATGTCTCTTTCAATTTTTTGTTTGCTTCATCCAATCTTGGAAATAATTTGGAATAATAATTAAAACTAGTATTTTCATTTGTTGAAGGGAAAAGTGTTAATTCATTATTTTAGCTTCCTTCTAACCCTGAAAAAAAGCAATAATCAATATATTATTAAAGAGCTAATTATTGCAGCTATCAGAAAAATTTATGCGAAAAATGAGAAACAATCGCAATATGTCAGTTTTTTGCTGAAACTGATTATTACAACCATGAAAATTCCATCAAAATATTATTCAGTTTTTCTGCTTAAATATCACCATAATTATTTTTTCTGATTAACTCATCAGATATTATTTTATGAAATACATATGAAACAAACTAACAACGTGCTGCTACTCAGGAATATTTTGCTTTATTTCGAATCAATTCTTCTTAGAAAATACTTAGAATAAAAAAAACTTCGAATAAGAATCAAAAGAAAAAAATTTGCATTTTGCACCAAAAATTTAATAATAAAAAATGTTAATTAAAAATTAAAAATTTGTAATTTGCTGTAATTAGCGCCTAAGAGAAGATTGTAAATATTCTTATTATTAGACAATAACTTTTCAATCAAACAAAAGCGTTCTCAAAATGAAATGTGCTACTGTACTAACCAATGGGTTGATCTGAATTTATTACAAAAAATTTAAAATTACAAATGTACTTGTTATTAAGAAATTAAATATTTAATTTAGTTTCTTACATCCTGGGAAATTTATTTATATTTTAAAATGAAATTACTTATATTTTGTATGTTTATTGGTTATACTCGTATAACAATATATACGAATGAAAATTTTGTAAAAACTTAAAAGAATGTTAATTGAAATCTATTTGAATACCTTTATCCCCTTTAAAAGTTATAGCCCCCCTAAACACTAAAATTTTTAATTTTTAATTAACATTTTTTATTATTAAATTTTTGGTGCAAAATGCAAAATTATTTTCAATAATACAACAAAAAAAATAATATATTTTTAATTTTTTAATGCATGTATTTCGGTTACTATTTTGTCACAACTAGTTATGTAAAAATTTGAATATTATTCTTCAAAATTGAAATAAAAATTTGCTTTATTTTCCAAAAAAGAGATCTAAAAAATTTTAGAATAGTAAAACAATTTTTTTTTTCGCGAAAACATACGTGTACATAAATATAATGATGAAAACAGTAAAAAGTTTTGATATTAATTTCATCATAACAATTACTTGTATTTTTTATAAAAGTCACCAGAAGTTGCTTTGCTTCAAATTAAAAGTCATTGAGAACTTGTTAACTAAAAATTCCTTAAAATAAATTTTTATTCGAATGCCACAGAACAAAAGTTTAAAAATTTCTTTATTTCTCATATTCCAGCAACAACCATATTATTAGAAATAGAATTCCACCATTTTGGAATACGTTAGTTGAAATTCAAATTGTTCTGAATTTGATCGTGTATAAAATTAATTTTTTTCATTTCACTTTGCAATTTGAATCATTTTTTGAATATTTACAAGTGATCCAGTTAACTATCCAAAAAAAGCTATTTCTCTCAAAATCTAATTAAGTTTGCACAAAAATAAAGTTAATCAAAATTCGTACATTGAGAAATTTTTTGAATTTGTTTTTTTAATAAAAAAGCAGGGCATTATGTTTCTCTTTACAATTATCAATTTTACAAATCATAACGATATTCCAAGGATTATTAACAAAAAATATTAAAGTAGAGCCATGTCCATTCAAAATTAATCTTGAATATTTAATGAGTGAGTTGTTCAATTTTTTCTTCCATAAAATAGCATAAAAATCATGAATTGACATTTAGAATATTCTTTAGAGTTACATCCATTATGCTGGGCGTAGGATGATTGAAGAACAAATTTTTCAAGGATAAATTTCAATTACAATTCTATAATTGAAATGTTAGAGCACTTTTACCAAAATTTTTGAGTTAAAATTTTTATTTAAAAATTCAATAAATTTCAAATAAAAACCCATGGTTTAACTGTTTAAAAAGCTTTAATAATAAAAATCATATTAACCACTGAGTAACGAATTTTATCAACATTAACATTATGAAAAAATCAATCAAAAAACGATATTTTTCTTGATAGTTTTGTGATCACACCCTAAATCTTACCTTGCGAAATATTATCAATTTATGTATGTATATGTAAAGCGAAAATTAAAAATCGTAAGTAGAAACAAAATATGTTTTGCACAACAAACAATTTTTACAGATTACACAAGAAACTGAATCTTGAATTTTTCAAAAATAATAAAAATTAATTATAGTTTAGACTAACAAAACTTTAAAATATCATTATTTACCCGTTGAAGGTTTTTTAATTGAAAAGGTTAAAGCTTATGTTGCTTGAGGGCAAAATACACAATGCCTATTCAATAATAATAGAATATAAAACTAAGTCAGTGTGACGATTATTGAATATGTCAGAAAAATTCGCAGAAAAAATCACCAACTTTGATCATTTTTTAATTTATGGGAAATTTGAAAGAAAATTGCAAGCACAAAACATTATTTTATTTCGCAAATGAATTTCCTAATTATGAAATTTGCCTTAAATACAAAAATTACATGTTAATTTAAAATTAGACCTTTCAACCAGTCATTTTGAGTGGTTATTCTAATAGTTTGCAGGAATTTTTATTTAAATTTTACAAAATATCGAACGGAAACACTATGAATTTTTTTAAATGGAAGTATTAAGCTGAAGTTACCGAAATTTTTTTTTCATAATTTGACAGACATAAACACATTTTTCTTTGATCGTTTACGCAGTCCCCCTGTAATTATCAAACGAATTACAAATTCAGTCAGTCTTAAGTTAGAACATAATTTACAGGAAAGCTCTAAAATTCGAAATTATAAAAGAAACATGAAATGTTTCTTAATTCTTTTGTGAACAAATTTTAATTTTAAACTTTTATCAGACATTTGAAATTTCCAGTTTTATTTAACATATATGATTAAGTGCAATTTCGTTTTTTCTGGAACATTGTAATATTCGATACGCTATATAAAATCTTAAAATAAAATCTTAATATAAAATTTGATATTGGCTATAGAAAAACTTGAGGTGAAAATTTTACACGTATGCCAAAGTAAAAGTAACTATCATATTTAATAAAAAAAATCTATTGAACTAGTTCACTATTAGTAGAATTACTAAGTTGTTGTAAATAAAATTTTTGCTATACTTAAACACTTTACTTATAATAAAGTTATAACACAAAAATTACGTATCATTTCCGTTACAAGCAAATCATAAGGTTAGCAATATTTAAAATATTAAACTTATTGTATATCCAAGCACTTATAATTGACTGTAAATTATAGGGCTTCTTAACATATATATTTCGCTCTAATTATGAAAGTTTAAAAAAATAATAACATCACAAAATCATTATGATTGAAAACAGCTTTACTTCATTTCACTATTATTAGGAATATCATTTCTCTCATATGACCTTCATAATTTAAATACACCTATGAATTCAATTCTTTTACTTAGAAAAAATAATTAAGATATGCAGAAATTAACAAAATTTATATATATAATTCATTATTTTGAAAAATCATGCGGAAATAAAACAAGTTTGAAGAAATCCAATGACGTTTGAAACTGTGCACTATTCTTACTATAATTACGTTGCATGTATAAAATCCGAATTCATTAGCTTAAAAACCATAAAAATTTCCTTTAAAAATTTTTATGATAAAAAAATGTAAAGCAACCTTTTCAATTTGTACTATAATTTCTCAGTCTTAAAAAATTTAATCTTGGTTGTATGAAGTTTTAACTAAGTTATGTCTTAAATTTTAGTATTCCATCAAGAACCAAAAAGTCATTACGCAAACAGATAACCTGCAACCTCTATCTTTTAATATCGCCGAAAACTTTTCTTTTATTTCAATTGGCCTAAAAAACAAATAGCAAACAACCATTGCATTTTTAATGGAAAGAAAGTTGCTGTAATTTTATCAGAGACAAACTGACATACCGTCGCTTCATCAGTATCGTCGTTGCCAAATTCACAAAAAACAGAAACAGTTTCAGAGTTTTTTCTGGCATCAGTATACGACCGTGGAAAGCGATTAAGGAAGACCATTTTGTAACAGAGTTTTTCGTTTAATTTTCTTTCCAATTCCTTCCATTTAATAGTCTTTCTCGGCTTGATTTTGGAATTTTATATGATACGACAGTATGACTTAGCATCGACGATACTTCATTTGGTACGACTTTATTTAATTTAATACTTGAACATTCCAAATATTCTCAATGAAATAAAATGACCAAGCTGAAAGATAATCCGTATGATGTTGGGAGGTTTTAATCAATACCGTAATAACTTTTTTTTTTAACTTAATTTCCATTAAAGAAACAAACAATGTTAAACAAATCACAACCAAGATTTTAATTTTAATGTACAAACATATTCGTGTATGTATTAATGTACACATAAACCACACACTTATAAAACCGGAATAAATTTCTAAAATTACTGTTTGTATTTTAGCATGAAATTCGATATGTTTTCAATAAAAATACCTATAATAAGAATTTCTCAAAGTTAAAAAGCAAAAAAAACTATAAAATAAAACAAAAATTTAAAAAAAAAATAAATCACTTTCTTTGATTTTGGGATCGAAAAATCAAAGAAAAGATACAATTTTTCATTTTTTGTGTTATACACTTAACATCCACACTTACATACATAAGACCTATGCATCTACAGGTACTATGAAATTGTAAATATTTTAAGCAACTCATCATCATTTCTTTCTTTCTCTTTTCAGATCATTCGAATCAGCCTTTAATTTCTGAAAGGAAATGAAATAAGAACGAAACTGGTACGAAAAGAAAAGAAAAAAAAACGCGCGTCATTGAATTTTTCTATTATTGGATGAGTAGTTTAAATCGGAGATGGTCAGCATTATATTGGATCTACATTAATATACGAACATACATATAAGAACAAAACAACTATAGTAAAATACATTGATAGCGATCTAGATCTATTTTGAGTCTCATATTTATTGTTATACTATTCCAATTCAACAATTTTACCATTCAAAATGGAATCGTGAGATTTGAAAAAGAATAAAAAAAAGGTAGGTTTTATTCATGATTAAAAAAAATTTTAGTAGTCATGTGTGCATACAAGAAGTAAGTAAGGTAAATTGTAAAAAATAACGGTACTGTTTGAATGTATAAATGTTTACTTAAGATTTTTTATGTGTTATTAATCAGAGATTATATTTAATTTTATGATAATCAGTACACGTTTTACTTATTTTGTGCACATATAGTGAATGACAAAATATTTAAAAATTGGTTACAATATTTGTAGATCAAATTGAAGCCCTACTTCAAGTTCAAATGACATTTTCTTATTGAATTTTTTTAGCCTGGGTTATGAACAGCTTGAATGCACTTACAGATAATTGCGCGCTACTCTTCATTATATAAACACGACTGAGCGAATTTGACTTTCAATTGAGCGAAAAACGTTTTTTTTTTAATTAAGAACGACCAAATATGAACTTTAAAGTATGTTGCCATTCGCAACACAAATCTTTACTAAATTATTTTCTTTAATAAATAAAATTTTGTACCAGTATTCGTTTATCTAACCGCTACTTTTCTAGCTTATGATAATTTGCGTGCTTTTAAAACTACATTGGCATTTCTTAATTCAAACTGTAAATTTATTCAAAACAAAAATTTCGAAATTGGCTACACTGCCAAAACTGTTTTTGTCCGTCAAAACAACAGTTTTCCTCAATATGGCGAGAGAAATGTTCGTAAATTTGTTTTAAAGATTAAAAAATAAAAGTTCCATTCGATTCAAAAAGTGCCAATAGTTTTTGTAGCAATTTAAAATTTAAAATTTCATGAATAATGAAAACTTATTCTAAAATTTTCAACATCTTTAAACTGTCTATTATATGCTATTTTTTAAATAACCAAACAACCAACAATAAAGAAAAAAAACTGCCCTTTTGCCTAATATTTCTGAAAATGCTGACAGTAAATTCTTGTTAAACTAGCATATTGTGTCGGAAATTACTACTTTTTCAAACACACTTTCATAACACCATCAGAAAACTGGCTTGCTTATTCCCGCAAACAAGCCAATTTAAACCGAATTAAAGCTACACAACTTAAGAATTACAAATTACACAGAAACGAATTAAACAAAATATGTAGAAACGTATACTCGTAAAATTTAATTTTTTCAGAAACTCCTAGTTTTTAAAATGATGTACATATACACAAAGAACAAAACACCTGTTGCATATTTAAAGTAAGATATAAAAAATTGATTGATTTGAAGCTCATACTATAACAAATTTTCTTCATGACGTCTTGTTTTCTGTTTCAATTTATATTGTGGTTGCTATTAATTTAAAATCATGTTTATTATATTTCAACTATTAACAAAATTGTTCCATTTCTTACCATACTTTCTTTCAATTCCTACACTATTTATTTTATTGAAAGCTGAAATTAGTTTGATTTTTTAAACTCATTTTTGTAGGTGTGTTCTTATTCCTATTCAACTTATATATTAGCCAGCAGGTGTTTTGATTGAAATTTTTAGAAAAAAGAAAAAAAAATTCATTTCTTTCAATACAAGAGGCGCTCCATTGTTATGAGGTTTTTAAGTTAAAAAAGAGAAAGAAAAAAATTTATTTTTGGTTTCGTTACAAACCGTGTTCCAAATTACATGCAATATAAAATAATGAAAATTAAAACACTTTATCGTGTTTAACTTTTATTTCTTTAATTTTTTAATTATATACATTTTTTGACAATTAAGAGTCACGATAATTCGAAGTAAGTTAACCAATTTTAAAAGGTTCTTTTGTTTAACCTAAGATATGAGATTTTTAAATTGCTTACAATATTTTTGTTATTCATAAAAATAATTATAAATTAGATATGCGCTTACATTGTGGATAAAATTAATAACAATGAAACAAGTGATAATGTAAAAGTAAAAAAAACTATAATGATTTTTCATTTCAAATTTTAGATTGCAGTTGATTTAAAATTTCTTTACATCGCCTATACAACAATAAAAGAAAGAAACAATTATATTAAATAAACACTCTTTTAAATCCAAAGACTTCAATAAAATAGGAATGACTTTATATTAAAAATTTTTTGAACCAAGCGATTAGTTTTCAATTTATTTTTTCGTTAAAATTTATTGGAATGTTCGATAGTTTCGTACCGAAATTATTCATGGAACAATTTTAACAGAAAAACAATTTCTTTTAAAATATTAAATTAATTATATGCTTGTTTTTTATGACAAAAACTCTTTCAATTTAACAAACATTACATTCAATAAAAATTTTATAAATGCGTTAACAGAATGCGTAAACAGAATATTCACTCTTATCCGCCCTTACGTTATATAATTAATTTTTTAGTACAATCTGTCTTTAGTATCCAAAATCAGAACTTGCAACGCCATACCGAAAATTATACAAAATCATTACGACGTACATATTTTTAAATAAAATACTGCTTTTTCGTACAAATTTTGATTTAAGTGTGTATAGATGTTATTTTTACCTTTATGTGATATATTTGAACATACATACTTAAATATTGTATATATTCAATTTCAATAAAATATTTTCCTATACAATATACCCTATATCTTATATAAAATCAAAATTCATACACATAAGTTCAATTTAAGTTTTCATGCAATGCATGAATTAATTCACATGATGTGCATACTCGCTTAATGTGTGTCTAGCGTTGTACATGCAAATTACGACAAAAAAATGTATAACAATATGTATTTTGCGAGCTGAGAACAAAACAAAAACATGATTGTGTACTTCATCTGTTTTCGTATTTTGTTATTTTTAAGTGAAAAAAAAAATTTCATTGCGTATCACATATTTTCCATGAATGTACAAAATTGAGTCGTAAACGACAAGCTCATTCGATATTCAAAATATTTCCCGATACTTTGAGAATAAATGAAAAACTGCAACTGAAAAATGCCACATCTGATTTTAAATGAAATGTGCGATACACAAACATGTTATAAAATAAGCGTTTTTACTCCCTTGCGTACAATAACTGCCATTTGATACTCAAATAATTTTAAAACTAATTCCAATGTGATTTTGGCTTCAAATATCTTAAATCATTACATAAACATTTTATAATGGAAAATACGATTAATGCAAAAACATATTATCCGTTCTCTACATTGATTTAAAAAAAAAAACGTTCAATTTTATTATTTTAATCAATTTAATTTTTTTGACAACCCCAGTATATTTTTAAACACTTTTGCAATAAGTTTTCTAAAAATTTTAACTAAATTTTGACAAAACTATATTTTATTGTGTGTAGAAAGAAAAGTGGAAATAATCGTAAAAGTTATTTTTCCTTTTTGTTATAATTTTTTTTTCCTTAATACCTGCATACATACACATTGTATTTCATTATGGGTTGGTAAAAAAACAGGAAACTCAGATAACTCATTCTATTATACTTGTAGTTACCAATTTATTTTTTTTATTTTTTATTATTCCGCCATCCTTTCAAAACTTTGGAAGGTATTATTCTCATCTCAAAATGTGAAATCTTTATATTAAAAGAGTCTATAAAAGTCTTAAAGTTTTCGAAATAAAACTTTTTACCCCAATTTTATTTTTTCAAAAAAAAAAAAGAATAAAAAACATTTTTTATGTGCAATGGAGGAAATTTTAACTTTTCTTTAGTATTTATTTTTGTCATTGATTTTCTACTTTTTTACATTTATTCAATTTATTCTGTACATCTACATGTTGTATGTGGAATAAAATTTGTAAGATGGATGCATGTTGTATGTGACAAGCATATTTGAATTTTAGGTATCGCGAATTTCATTGAAGTTTTATTTTTCAACTTAGTTTCATATTTAAGTTTGTGTTATACATGGAAAAGTTAACAAATTTCGGTAAATAATTTTTGAAATTTATTTAAGTTTTTATATTCTTAAAATTTTAACGAATTGGAAGACGTAGATACAAAACATAAAATTTACTCTATCACTGACACGTTTTTCTATATAGAATAATCAGAATATAAGGTTAACTGTTATATTTTTCCTAAAAAATAATACTAAGAAACTTTATGTCGAATTGATTATTTCCTTAATATAACGTGTATATGCAAATACAAAATGTGCTTAATAAATATGATAAAGTTGGGTCAAACCAATGGTTTGTATTGTAGCACTTTTCCCTTCAACAAGTGAAAATTCTGCTTTTAAATACAGTCTATGTATCCTATCACGCTATTAAAATTATTTTCATTCATATACAAAACTATTTCTAGGATTGCATATATTTAGAATCTACGGCAGGCTAGTCACCTACCTAGTTAAACTCTATGACGCTATGAAACTATTGCATGAGAAATCATGCACTAGCCCTATGCTCCTTCTAGGAGTGAACAAAGGAAACAAAAAAAAACAAAAAAAAAAAATATATTTAGAATGATGCATACATGTAGTCTTTGAAATTAAGCGAAAATTAATATAAAGAGGGGTTAACACAATGCTCGATTTTAAGGGTTAATTGTATGAGTAAAGAAAAATAATTATATTTTTTAATGCCATGGAATTTACCGTTAGCTTTTTGCGTTTATAGAAATTTGAAAAAGCTTGCGGTTTCGGAAATATAAGGTATCAAAAATTCAAATTTTACAAATTTCAAAAGGCGATAACTTGAGAGCGTGTGGAGATGGAAAAAAATTTTCTTTCAAAAAAATGAACAATTTGTTAATGTCTAAAAGCCGCTAAAATTTCAAGCTTCTACAGACTGGGGTCTAGAAGAAAAGCGGCATCAAATATTTGGAAAAAAAGGACTTTAGATAACGGTAAATTTGAACGGTCATTTTGTTTTTCTAAAGTTTTACTATAGTATACCGCGCTGGGGGAAGCAGGCCACTGCCTTCCCGCGTTTGCAAAATTTCGAAAATGCAAAACCCTTCAAAAAATTTTTTGGAAAAGTGCTAAAAAACCCTTATTTTTATCAAAAATGTAAATAAATTTTCAAGAATACATAAAACGTGATCACATTCTAACTTT